GTTACGCTCTCATCGATAGTCGTCTCTCAAGTGCTTTATCAGGGAAGCGACTTCTGGCTCACCATATGGTCAGTTCATCCATCAATCCATTCAATTCATTAAAAACACTAAACAAACAAATAATAAAAGTGTAATTAATTTCTAGGACTAATGAAGTGGATAACGACACCGACACAGACACTACATTTAATGTGATTATATACTCGGCACTAATACTGGGACTACTGGTCTCAGCCCTCATAAGAACCACATCATTCTTCGTGATGTGTATGCGAGCGTCGATTAATCTTCACAACAGAATATTCTACTCATTATTGAGAGCACCCATACATGTGTTTGATAGCTCTCCCATTGGTTAGCAAATAATCATTACAAATAAAAAACAATTAAACGATTAACTATTTTCTTGTCCCACATTTTTTAGGCCGTATATTAAATAGGTTTACGAAAGACACGGGTATTGTCGATGAACTCTTGCCATCGACTGCTTTCGACTTACAAATGGTATATAATTTTTGTCTATTAAGATATTAATGAATTTGCTAAATGAATACATAATTACTTTCTCTTAGACACTATCTCTGGTCATCGGAACACTAATCGTAAACGCAATCGTCAGTTGGTTTTTGATATTTCCGGCGATATTCCTCTGTATTGTGGTCTTTATGTGCAGATATTTCTACATCAGATCCGCTCGTGATATCAAACGATTGGAGGGATTGTGTAAGAAATGCACTGAAATATTAGTGAATTAACCATTAATTAACAAATTATACACAAAATGTTTAGCTCGGAGTCCGGTTTACTCCCACTTAAACACTACGCTATCGGGTCTGTCGACTGTCCGGGCATTTGGTGTACAAAAGATGTTTGAAGAGCAGTTTGTGAGACACCAGAACGACAATACGGCCACTTTCTTCCTATTCATTTGCACTTCCCGTGCGTTCGGTATTCTCATGGACTGGATCTGTGTCTTCTATATCAGTGCTGTCACCGCTTTTATCATGTTTTTCGATAGTGAGTCACAATTAACTTCTGTTATATATCATGTAAAATGGTATTAAAATGTAATTTTTCTTATTTCAACCAAAGACCTGCCGGGAGGTGATGCCGGTCTGGCCCTGTCTTCAGGTAATAATAAAATGACTGTTAATTGAAATCATATATTGAATAATGGATTCTTGTGTTTAGCGCTAACACTGACGGGAATGACTCAATACGGAGTGAAATGCTCGGCAGATCTCGAGTCCTATATGACAGCAGTGGAGCGAATGCTTGAGTACTCGCATATTAAACCTGAGGCCGAACTCGAGTCCCGACCGGACCGCAAACCTGACTCCGAATGGCCCGAAACGGGAGAAATTGAGTTCAAAAATATAAGCCTTCAATACAACGAATCGCCGAATAAAGTGCTGAAAGGACTGAATGTTTTGCTCAAAGGGGGAGAAAAGGTGGGAGTCGTCGGCCGAACCGGCGCTGGGAAGTCGTCCGTTATATCAGCCATCTTTCGGATGACTGAACCCGAGGGACAGATACTGATCGATGGCGTAGACATACAGTCCATCGGTTTGCATGACTTGAGACGTCAGATATCAATCATACCTCAGGAACCGGTGCTCTTCACGGGTTCGGTGCGCAAAAATTTGGATCCGTTTGGCGAACACCCGGACGACGAACTCTGGGCCTCTCTAGAAGAGGTGCAGCTGAAGGAGTCTGTGGTTCAACTTCCCGGACAATTGGATGGTATGGTCACAGAAGGCGGCAGTAATTTCAGTGTCGGTCAAAGACAACTCGTATGTCTGGCCAGAGCTATACTGAGAGACAATCGGATACTAGTGTTAGACGAGGCGACCGCTAATGTGGACCACAGGACCGACGCTCTCATACAGAGGACTATTAGAGAAAAGTTTAGATACTGTACTGTCATTACGATTGCTCACAGACTCAACACAATTATAGATTCCGATAAAGTGATGGTAAGAATGGGTTCAAAGAGAATGAGTTTTGAATGAATGAAACTAAGAATGTCTTAATTATGTGTTGATTAGGTGTTAGACGCGGGAGAAGTGGTTGAGTTCGGTATACCTCACACTTTGCTGGAGAAGAGCGACGGGTTGTTCACCAAATTAGTGAAACAGACGGGAAAACACATGACCACTAGATTGAGACAAATGGCTAAACAATATTACTCTCATAAATACGATATACTCGAAGAAAATGAAGGTTTCGAAGAGAATGACATTCAAAGTGATTGAGAAAACTTTTATACTTTTTACAGATATTTATATAATTAAGTTAATTAACCCGGATGTTATACATGTATATACTATAAATACTAATTATGATTTACTAAAACATTTAATTTTGATATAAATATTACAAATGTATATAATTAGTGCAGTCATTGAGGAAATATTTATTACACATAATATGATTAACAGTATATAAATCAAACATTTAATGTTTTGTTTCCTTTGTATCACTGGATCCTAAATAGTGCTAACATTTGAATCACTCAATAAATAATACAATAATTTTATAATGATGGTAATTTAAAATGATTTACATATTATTTCATTATCAATGGCATAAACTGAATATTTATGGCACTTAATTAAAATAGTGTCAGGGTAGTTTGGCGTTGAACTATTTGGACAATCAATTCATAGATTACCTTAATGATAATATGATAATTAACAAAAAATTGTTATTTATAAAAGATAACTATTAAGTTAATGTTAATTTAGTTTAACCATTATAAACTTAATATAATTTGCTATAAAATTTAATTATAAACTTAATTCGCAGTGAAATAGAAAAAATTGTGGTAAAAGTGCAGCAAATGTCCGATAGTTGGCGCTAAGAGTCCGACAATTGAGAGGGTTTTGCAAATGATATGAATTGTGTGGAAATATTTAGTGTCACTCTTTCGATGAGATTCTGTATTCAATGAACATATATCTAGTTTGCATAAACTTATTGTTATATTTTTAGACCACAACTGCAAACACTTCATAAAATAATTAATTTTTATCAATGACTAAAAATTTTGATATCAAAGGAAATTAGATTTTCACAAAACCTGTCGCTTATATTGACTACACTGTAAAAACTAGACTATTTCTAAAGGTATAAACACTTATAAGTTATACTTTGAATTTGTGTAGAATTCATATCAGAATTGATGGTAAATTGAAAAACCATTCTAGGAAAGGGTTGAAAATATTTTGCTGATTTAAATGATAGATGTAAAACATGTCAAATACATTTGTGAGCCGTTCAGTGAATGCATTATGAAATAAAGTATTGATAAATTGAAATAAATAAGTCGTTTATAATTAAGCAAAAAAGGTTTTTTATTTGTATATTACATTATTTTGAAGCGAATTTTAATCCTATAAAACATTAGGGCATTTGAAATATACTGAGTATAGAAATCGCTTATAATATTTACTTTTTAATATATTTTACAAATTGATTGAAAAGAAAAAACAGATTTATTTTTTAGTTTAATAAAACAATTATTGTTATTATTTGGTGTTATATTTAATAATTATATTCATATAAATAATACTTTTTAAAAATTTGTAAATTATTAGAAATAAATTAATGTTAATTATAAGGCACTTAAGAAAATATATATCAATTACAATTTGATTTCCAATTTGTTTTACAATTATATTTATATATTTTTTGTATTTATAATAATTTAATAATATTTTTCTATAGAAAATGCCTTATTATGTGTAGAAAATGTTATATAAAAGTTTCATATAATTTGTGAGATTTTTTGTTTTATTAATTAATTAATTAATTTCTTTTAGTCTCTCATTTTCATAGAAATAATATTATTTTTTATTTATACCTTATTTTCACATAATTTAATTAAAATTTATTTATAATTATATTTTCTCTGTCTTTGTTTTTGTAGTCAATATTTACTTTACTTTTTGGATTAAATATTTAATTTCAGACGAAAATCAAATTAATTTTGTTGAATATTTATAATGAGATTAAAAGTGTTTTTGCATTTAATCCAAAAAATTAAGACTCATTCAATTTAATGTCGAAAATTCTATACAAAATACAAAACACGAAAAACATACACTTTTTTGTAATTGTTTTGACACAAGAATTTTCATCAAAATAATTAACACAACAAAAATTCTTGTCATCAGTATTTGGTTTTACAATAGATTTATCAATAATTTATTTATATCTAATAAAACATATTGTTTCACATCTTATATATCGTTAACAAATGAATTGTCAAATAAAACAAATGTTTGAAAAATTAATAATAAAAATTGTGAATATTTGTTGAATGCTATACTAAGTGACCCATCGGTGCGTACGTGAGGTGCGGCTCCTCATTGATGGCCGGCAAGAATGTGGTCATATTTGGTGGGACACCGACGGCACCCAGACTTCGCAGCGGTGGCAATGGAGGCACCGTTTGGTGGTGTAGTTGTTGTTGATATTGATGTGAAGTCGGCTGCAAATTGTGTACATAATTAATATACATATCATATATGAAATGAAAACTGAAGATTAAACAGTGAGCCGTAGGAAATGGGATGCAAAGTATATGTGTATTTCAAGGCAATTGTTTCGTATGATTTGGTGTTGTCATGATTTTTCGCGTAAAATTGCATTCAATGAAAAGCGATTTCGGGTTTTAATTAAAAAAAACAAATAAAAATTCATTTTAATTAACGATTCATTTTTAAAAATAAAATAAAAATTGTCATTAATTTTTTCCATTTAATATTTAAATGAAATATTAATTGAAAAATTATTGGAATTAATTCATTTATTTTTGGACAAATTATTTGCGTTAAAAACTTTTTTGTTAATTAAAACATTAAATTAATTAAATTTAGATTTTATTATAGCTCATGAATTAATCAATAATTTGTTTTATTTCATTAAATATTAGACAATTAGATCTTATTTAGTGATATATTATTTATAAGTGCTGAACATTTTTTAGTGCAAATCTTTCAAATGAATCATTAATCAAGAAAAAATCTATTTATTTTAATAATTAAATAGTAATTAATTGTAATTTCGATTAATAAATAATTAGTGTTTTATGTGTTGTTAACAGACATTAAAGCAAATAAATAGAAATTAGTGTTTGATATCATTGTCCAAAACAATACATACCGACTGAGGCTGTGATAAGTGATGATCGCCAACACGAGGGCCCATATAATTGACATGATTTATGGGGGACTGACTGTTGGACAGACTAATAGTCAAGGGCTGCAGCGATGGCAGCGGCGACGGCGAGACACTGCCCGGACTGACCGCCAACTGTTGATTGTAAGCATTTTTTCTTAAGGCAGACGCGTATTCATCGCTCTGACGATCAATGAAGTAGGTGTTGGTCGTCAGGTCCGGACCCACTGGACTCACTACACATGCAAAACGCAAACATGTCATTAATTATCACCACTTCATTGGCAAACATAGCATATAAAAAAGGTATAAAAAAGAGACAACACTTTTGAAACGAGAAAAAAGTGTTGAAAACTAGCGAAAAGCAAAAGTAGATTTACGCCACCGAAGAAGATGATCGATGGTTTTAATGGTATAGTATAGGTATAAGCGGTGGTGAGCCGGGGATTAAGACTTACCGAGACTCGTGAACCGAGTGGTCGGGTAGTGCTGAGAGGGCGCTATCGCGTCGTCAATCAAATAAGTGCTGATTCCGTGCGAATGTGTGGTCACAACTCCTGACGGACTTATTTCCTATTGATTTAGTGGAAAAGTGTAAAGAATCACATCATTTGATAAGTATAACAGTATAGAAAACTGATCATATATTATATGTGCAGTGTTTTTGTTGCCTAGAGTTCGGGTGTTTTATAAAATGTCTGCAGTTATTGTCCCACTGATTGATTGCAGCAGTTTTTGATGTGTCTATTCTTTTCATCACTGATTCCTCGCATTCAAGACTCAAATATATCACTATTTTTGGGGGGAATCAAGAATTGGGGGCCAGAAGTATGAAGCGATAGTTTAATCAATTTATTTGCGATTTCTTACAATAGACAGGACTATAATGTTTTGTAACACAATATACTCGCTATAAAGTACAGTATGAGTGAAGAGTCTATTGTCAGAACTTATCATTTGATATTTGGTTCAAAACTCGAAATAAATATATATTTTGATTGTATTATTACCGGTATTTAATGGTTATTTGTTGTGATATAAAAAGAATGCAATCATTTAATGACAGGATATATAACAATAAAATATATAAATTTCTATAAATCAAAATCATATTTAAATTTCGCAACAATTCGTGTTCAAAGAGCGCATAAAATAATAGGATATTTGAACTAATTTCCACGTCTTTAATGAATATTAGCTGTAATTATATAATAAAGTAAAAAGTAATTACCATTTCATAGTCTGTATGTCCGGAATAATTATCATGAGTTTGACTCTTGTTCTCGTCGTCTTCGCTAAGAGAGGTCTCATTGTTTTCCTTGTGATAGCCGGTGCTGTTGGAGCTCTGGTACATCTCCATTGTCGTCTTCGAACTGCCTGTTGTCTTACTATCGGTTCCGTCGCTCTCTGTTTGTGTGCAAATATATGCTTAGTTAGAATTGTTTCAATAATTACTGTTTTAAATGTTGTAAATATAAAAATTGTGTTTTATCTTTGAAAAACATCAATAGATATTAGGGTAAAACAAAAAACAGGACTAATGTTTTAAATTGCAAAAAACAAAATAAAATTCTTCGTGTGTTTTGGGAAAGAGAAGAACAGAAGGAAAATAACAAATGAAATACGAGTACAAAACTCATTGAAATTCTTTAACAGCAAATTAAAAATCTATTTGTGTTTCGGAATTCGCAGATAGAAAAGGGAGACAGAGATAGGGTTTTTGGGAAAGAAATTAGTAATAAACACAACGTTTTGAAATAAAAATCATTTAAAATATTTGAATGGAAAACGAAGAAGAAGTAAAGAAGAGGTTTTTTGCAAAATAAGGGAAACAAAATTCTTAAACTGATTTTTATGTGCGAATAAACAGAATATTCATTAGTATTAAAACATTTATAACGGGAAACACAAAGAATGCGAAATCTTAACTCATTTGTCGAATTCATTAATCAAATAGATTTTTTATGGGAGGAAATAACAGAAAGTTGTTGTGTTATTATATATGCATAAAACTCATTGAGAATATACAAGTCATTATTGAATATAACTGATACTTACTTCGGCATAATTTACATAAACGCTCCAAAACTAGTAATGGGTTTCACACATAGATATACACAAATATGTATAGTGAGAGAGTGTGAGAGAGTATGGGAAGGTATTAGAGAGAGATGTGTGAGAATAATGTGAGTGAATGAGAGAATAGGAAGAGGAAGAAAGTGAGAGAAAGAAAGAGAAAAAAGTTTTTATTAGAAAAATGTTTTATAAATTATTATTTTTCAAAGAAAAGAAATGAATGAAAATATTATTAAAAATAACTCGAAGAAAGAAAAATTGAATAAAAACTCGATTCTTAACGCAAATGTCATGTTTAGTTGGGGTTCGGCGGGTATTATACAAAACGGCGTTAGAATAGCATTATTAATGCGATAAGTAATAGCTTTTTAACATTTTTGCTGGAATTCAAGGGGTTTTCAAAATAGATTGAGAGAAAAGTGAACAGTAATTGGATTTTAACTCCAAATTCATAAATGAATGGCTATTAATATAAAGACCGAAAGTTTTCTGGAAAAACTTTCATCAATTATTAAACTTTTAATAAAATCTAAGAAATAATTAATGAATTGAGAAGTTTTAAAAGAATCTGATATTTAAAAAAGTTTATGTAAAGAGTAGTTAATTAATAACGAAAAAGTCTAGCAATTAATTATATATTTACAAACAGAATATTCTTAAGAAAACAATCAGTCAATACATACCCTCTTCGTAGCGCTTTCTCCTACGCTTTCGTACGAAACAAACGACTAATACCTAAACATAATTAATTTATTTGAGATTCACTTTATTATGCAAAGTATTAATCGATTTCTCTCTTTCGACAAATCATTGAATATAAAGACTTACGATATTGAATAGGAGTAGAGAACTGCCCACAACTGATACAATTAATATCAATTTAGGCAAATCGCCGGCCCTTTCGTTCATTATTTTCGATATTATTTTTTCCGTTTCTGTGACCGGAGTTTCTGTTCAATTAAATCGATTCGTTATTTCGATAATCACTTTATTATAAAAACAATTAATTGTCGAAAAACAAACCTTTGAGTGTCTTTGCTTTGACGACATCACTGGTGAAGTCCGACTGACCCAACGAATTGATGGCCTGAACGCCGAATACATATTCGGTGTCTTCGTTCAGACCAGTCATCACTATTTGTGTTGAATTTGTCGGAAACACATCTTTGTATGAAAAGGACGGATCGGAGTTCAATGTGGGTCTATAACGGAGCCTAAAGTCCTGACCCAAACCGCCGTCAAAGCCCGGTATCCACCGGAGCTGTACTGACGACTCGGTTATGTTAATCACTCGCAGAGCGAGCGGTGGATCTGGTTTTGAAGTGCGATTCAATTGTATGGTAATGGCATCAAAGCCCAGATCATTGCGGGCTAAGCACTGGTAGGCGCCGTAGTCCTGGCTCTGGACGTCCAAAATGACGAGAACGCTCTGATAAGTCACTAAATCCAACTGTTGGGTCGTTTCGATCATATATTTAATGTCTTTGTCGACAGTTTCCGACCCTTTCTTCTGTTTGTCGGCCGTATCTCCAGACACAGCGCCCACAGCTTTGGTCATTGTCTGCAATATCTGTCCCTCTCTGGTCCACGTGAACGTCACGTTAGGGGCCGCCTGTGCTCTGCAAATCAGTAGACCATTGGATCCGTTATCGGTGGCAGACTTTGATATTATGGGCGATCTGTCTATTATTGGTTTGTCTGCAAAATTGAAATAATGCAATGAATTACAAATGAAATTAATGTAAATTATTTCAATTTCTTTTTGTAATGAATAAATGAATAACTAGTGTAGACATTATTTACAGAAAAGGCTATTATGAATTAAAATTCACTCAACGACCCAATACTATGAGTACCGATAAATGAGATTCAAAATAACATTATGTATACAATGTTATGATAGACAACAAACTAGAAGTGCATTTCCAAAAAGCAAACACTGAATAAAAGTGTGAATTTCCTCAAACATCATATCAATGAGAGAAAAAGTAATGAAAATAAAGAATAAATTTTATTATTATGGTATGAATAATATAAAGTTTGTATTATTTTATTTTTTTCCCTTCACTTCTAATCTCAGACAACATTTGCCACTATTTTTCTATAGAAATCCCAAGAATTTATTCTTTGCTAAACTTTACGACAACAGAGAATAATAACAAAAAACTCTTTTTATCACTTATTTTATCGCATGTATAGAGAAAAAGGCCGTAAAATATTCTCCACATTAGGAACGGAACATAAAAAATAGGAATTTTATGAATAGAAATCTCGTAAAAAAACTTTGCAGAAACAATAGCCGCTAAATGTGTTGAAAGATTAACACATATTCTGTGAAAATGTTTATTAAGTTAGATATAAATTAGGAAATAATAGAGTAAACACTTACGCAACACAAGTAATGTGGCGATCGCTGTGTCGCCATCGCCCACACCATTGTTGGCCACGCACTCAAACTGCTGGCCCGAGTCCTCTAAACTCGTGTTGTAGATAACGAGAGTGCCCTTCAATACGGTTCCCGTCTGTCCGCTGAGTCCGGAGCTGTCAATCGTGTCGACTGTTGTCCGCATTCGCATCGAATCGATCTCTTGTGTGATGAGAGCGGTGTCGGACTCATTGCGGACTTTGCGCCGCCACGTGATAGTCGTGTCGGTGGTCGGGTTGGCGTCGACTGTGCACTCGAGGTAGGCGTTGGACCACTCGTCCACCATCACGAGGTCGCTTACTTTGAGTATCTGTGCCGAGTCTGAGGGGAATAATGGCAATAGTTTGCGATTAAAACTCCCAACTAATGGTTAATTATAGTGAAGGGTTAAAAGAAAGTGTATGTGAAAAGTAATAGTGAATTATGGCATACAGTGAACGTTGATCTTAATGGCCGTTTCGCTGAATCCCAAATCGTTTTGAGCAAAAAGTTTGTAAACTCCGGAATCACTTCTCAGCGCTTGACTAATGTTAAGAACGGGTCCTTCGGTCTGGAGACGAGTCGAGTCAATGGGAGCGCCAGTAGTGGTGTCACCGGTAGAGCCAGTGTCCGGCTGTCGCGACCACTTGTACTGAATATGTGAGGGATTTCCTCTGGCCGTGAGGTTTATCAAAGAGGACTGGCCTTCGGTTATATCGAATTGAGTCAACGGAGAGGTTAGGAATTCAGGGGCGACTGCAGAGTGTCATAACAAACAAGAAAATTGTGTTCACTATTAGTATAATTGCATTTCAAATAATATTATTGAATCAAATAAAAGAGAATTTTGGTGTAAATTATGTAAAATACATAATATTTTTGACACAAAAAAATATTTGTTCAATAATTTGAGCAAATGATTGAATTTGCATTAAATTTCTCGACACAATAAGTGGGAGAATATATTCCGCAGAAAATTGAATCAAACAATACTCACATTGAATGCTAAGAGTTGTCGCGTCGTGTACTGACTGCTGGAGAACACGATTCGTGGCTATAATTCAAAAACACAGCAAAAAAATATACGTTAAAAAAGAAGGAGAAGTGGAAGAAGAAGAAAGAGTAGAAAAGAGAAGAGAAAATTTTATTCATTAAATGCTTAGAATTAAATTTAACGTAAATCTAATTAATCGGGCATTTCTGTAGTCAGTTGTAGTCAAACAGCAAATCAATGGCAGAAATATTGGGCAATAAATAGTGGACACAAACCTTGACACGTGAGGACAGCGCCGTCGTCATCGCTGGTCACGTTTAGCCGCAATATATTTCGAGTAGTCTTTCCTCCGTAGAGGCCGTCAATGATCCCAAGGACTACAGGTAACTCCTCCTTCGGTAGGGAGGTGGTGCACTGGTGGCTAAGGCCCAATCTCGACGGGCAGAGCGTGTGGTAAAGGTGAACTGAGGGCCTAAACCCGAGAAAACCCGAGTAGAAATTGTATACGCCAGACGGCGGAACTGATGGCATACAGAATCAGTATTTTTAATACATTATTAAAACACATTCAATGGGATGTAAAGACAGTTAATGGACATACAGTGAACAGTGAGCTGAACGGTGGCCACCAATGGAACAGTTGTGGCCGAATTGCTCGCTTCGCACCGATATTGAGCCCCATTATCACTGTCTTTGGTTATAATCGCTGATTTGAAACAAAAAACAAAGTTAATGCAAAGTCGCTATTAAAGTGATAGAATTGTAAATCATTTTTTGTATTCAAATACAAACCAATTTCGTTGGAGACAACGTTGCCATTAGTGGTCACTTGAGTCGCTTGAGTGACTTCGGTGTCGCCCTTAAACCACTTGAGAGTGCAGAGAGGGTTACCGCCGTTGCAGACACAGGTGAGCCGCTGTAGAGCGCCGGCACGTATTGAGTTGCCTTCAGTGTAACCAAATATATTGGGCGGATCGGGAGGATAGAGAATACTGAGCACTGATGTCTCCACTATAGTCTCGCCCAACGCCTGATTAATGGCATAACACGACAACATTTTCATATTCCTGTCCTGAGGGGTGACCACAACCGTAACGTTAGCCGAACTGATCCAACCGCCGGCCGGATCGGCGACAATGGTGTTGGTGGCGGTGACGGGTCGGCCGTCAACCACCCAACTCAGCTCTGATGGAGGATTACTGCGTTCAGTACGACAGGTCATGGTTACGGTGTCGCCCGCTTTGGCCTCTTTGGTGCCGTTGATGTAGACCTTTGCGGGCGCGAAGTGCACCTGCAGTTTGATCTCCGACACCATCGGTGTCTGAGTGATGGTCGAAGAGGCGACGCATCGGTAGACGGCGTTGTTGTCGGACGCGTCGACCACAAAGGTGTGAGAATTGGCCGACTGTTTGTTGGCAGTGGTTGTGAACGAGAAGTCCACCTCTTCGTCGTTCTTATACCAAACCAATTGTGCCAAAGGATTGCCACCAATTGATTTGCAGACCAGCGTTAGTGTATCACCCATTCGCACGGTCTCGCCCTCCGTATAGCCCGTGATTTCTGGCGGACCTGTTGTATGAATAATTGCTCGTCAATAATGGGATTCAATAATATTTACTCAAGTGTTTAACTGATATAAGAATTTGATTTAAAGTTTAACACAATTTATAATTAACTATAAAATTGATGTAAAAATAAATGTTAAATGTATTGAAAAAAGTAAAAGATGTAATAGAAGTGATAAGTAGTGATCATTAATACCGGGCGGATATAAAACAGATAATGTGAGCGAATGTCTGAGAGGCGCTGATAAGGCAGTGTGAATGGCTTCGCACGTATACATCACACCATTATCTTCGGCGTGAGGTCTGACTGTAATGGTCGACACCGACACTGAGATGGAGTCCGATGAGTGATGACCGCCGGTCGATAACTCGTTGTCCATAGAACCGGCCGGTATTGTACGCACAGTCACGTTGTCTGCATATGTTAGCAATAATTATGTTTATTGTCGTAGAAATTAAAATCAATTATCACTTCAAACTTCATACCAGTTCTCAATTCAATATTCTTGCGAAACCATTTGATTTGTGCGGACGGTTTGCCTCCAGTGACCACACACTCCAAGTCCATTGTCTGTCCATCTTTCACCTCAAACTGAGTCTGGTTTGAGTGTCCGGTGATTTCAATGGACGTCGGAGGGACTGAATTGACACAAATAATCACAATTTGTTATACATTTTAAACTTAATAATAATAAAAGTAATAATAATATTTTCAAAATATACTTTAAAATAAGTAACAAAGTGGAAAATCTTTTCTAAAGGTTATATATTTTGATCAGCAGTTATGGCAATTGACACCAAATATAAAAACCCTGGTGATTCCCGGCCTAATACTGATATTTTCAGTGATCATTACTTTAAAGTGATATTTATTTTAAAAGTGTATTTATGTTTAAACTGTTATAAAAATGGTTCAGTTCTTCAGTTCTGGAAACGAAAATAGCGTTTCGTTTAATGGATAGTATAAGTGATATAAAAAATATTTTGAAAACTTTTTTAACAAAAAATATTTTTTTGTTTAGTTTTGCGTTCAAAGAGAATACATTCTCTTTGAGTGAATTTATAACAAAAACAACACAACAAAAGTTATTTATTTTTTCTTATATATTATTTCTAACCATTAGATCAGATGATAATAAATATTTGTCTTTAGTTTACAACTTATGAAAAGTCAGGAGAAAAAACTTTTAGACCACAAAAACTTCATTCAATACTTGAATTTAATAATAAAGTACACAAAAAAGAGACAAATTTTTATCAGTGAATAGAAAATATTTTATATAATTATTTCACTACATTTAACAACAGAACTAACGATACATATATGCAATGTATTTATGGACAAAAAATGTTTGAAAATTCACTTTAACTCATAAAAACTCAAATGCTTTAATCCTTTTAAAAGTTTTTTGATAATTTATATTCAAAAATGAGATCAAAAGTCAAATATATTTCGAAAAATATTAATAATTTATAATAAGATTAAAAACAGAGGGAAAAAGAAAGAAAGTCTTTTTGTTCAAAAATTATTCAAAATATTTGTTAAAAATAGAAATTTTAAGTCAATTATGAATCGAAAGACGAAAAAGAGGATCAAAATAAATGTTTGAAAACTCACTCAAAACTGTCAGTTTGGTTGTGGCTCTTATCGGTTGATTACCACCAGCTCCGGGTCCGACCTGTGTGTCCAATAGTAACGTACGAACAGATTATTATATGAGATAATTATATACTAATCGACAAAAGAGATTAAAACTTTTGTTTCGTTCTCTAATATCTAATGATTGTCTGATTCTAATCGCAATACAAGTTTCGCAAAAACAAATCTCATATCAAATACTTATTAAATAACTTATAATTAAGTCTGCGTTCATTGAAGCGCACAATTAATAATTAGGTTCACTATAACGAGAGATCGTATTAATGTCTATGAATCCAAGGACTCGTATATCACTAATTAAAAAATTATAAAACCCATTGAGATTACAACAAAGACTAAATATATTTATATACAATATAAGAATGTCAGCCAAACTCATGTGAATGTCTGGCCTATGGTTTTGAAAGAGATATTAGTTTTATTGAAATTTTTCTCAATTGATTGCTTTCAAAGTGTTGACAACAAAATATTCTTATCATTTGTTCAGTTATTATATAATATTAGAGTTTCGGCACAAGAATCGGAAATTGAGTTTTTCTTATAATACAGAAAGTGTTTGTATATAAGTGGAGAAGAAGTGGACAGACAGGCGAGAGAGGTATGAGTGCGACAACTAGTCTACTATAATAAAGTTCATTAATCATTGTTAGCAATGATAGCTCTCTTCATAACATCATTAATACATAAAAATAGTTGACATTCTTTGGCTTCAATAACAAAAGCTCATTGAGTCTCAAAAACTATATCATAATTTGCTTATTATTAAAACCTTAACTTATGTTTGAAAAAGTTTTCGCCACAACAACCACTTTATTAAGAAATTCTTGTGCTTTACTCCTATCCCTGTATTCATGATAATTAAAATTGTTTTTAATTTATGTAAATTATTAATTGAATTTACTAAATGGTAATTACTTAAAATTATTTCTTCGACGCTTACTATAAAAATTTTAATAAATATAAAATTGCGCAAAATCTCAGGTTTATAAACAAAAACAAAACTTTATTAAATCATATGTAATACTAAAAATATATTACCATGAAAGAAAATGAAAATACTAAACCCGAAGTATATGAGACATTAAATAAACATTTTGTAACACAGTATTGATAGATCATTGACGGGTACAGACCTGGCACTGGTATTCTCCTCCGTCTTCACTCTTGGCTTTAGATATCCGTAAATTATGTGTTCCTGTGTTGGCGTCGCCTGTCATCGAATATCTGGCAATAAATGGCAATATTTTATATGAAAAAGCGATTATTATTATTGAATTTGTGTATAAAAATCTATTCTCATATATAATATACTCCAAGAATACGGTATACTTTTATGTATACTGTATTTTAGTATATTATTCGTATATTATATGCAACGAAATGATTGATGTGTCTATGAATTAAATATTTGTTGCAATAAAGAGATTAACTTTCATTCCTTGAATACAATTTCTCATTAATTATTAAATATAAAACAGAAAACTCTATTACATAAGGATTTATGTAAAAATAGATGTATTAATACATAAAATAAAAAATTTAAAACAATAGTAAATAGCTTTTAAGATAATTAATTTAAATAATTAATAATCGCATACCTTTCATATCCAGGAATACTTCTATCAAAACCTGTAAAAATACAAATAAAAATTAAAAACAAATTAAATGTTTATCAACATGAATTTACAGTGTCTATTAAATAACAATATTTATATGTAATTGTACTGTAATTGTGTTGTAATTGAAAGACTCATTACACGCCAAAACCATTTATTTATAAAAATACATAAGAATTTAGTTTTTAAAAACTGCAGAAATGATTAATTGTACGCAAATTTATCGTCTTTTCCGACACATTATACGTTATATAACGAGAAATATTTAGTGAGAATTCTCTCTTCCATTCACTGAATAATAACACATGGATTTCGTTTCTCATTATATAATTACGTGTGAAAATAAAAATGTTTTATTTTTACAAAAATATATATATTTTAATCCATTTTTCAAAAGTTATCTCAAACGCATCCAAGCGTTCACATAATTATATGCCTTTCTTCTACTGAAACACAAACACACAAATTGACTCATTTTACTCTTCCATGTATTCGTCGACCGATTCTTTATATTCGCAGAATATTCTTATGCTATGAAAAACGTAAACGAGATATATATATATGTATGAATGAGAGCACAATTATGTAGTGTTTGCATAGCTCTGAAAGTCGTTTGTTTGGGTCCATAAGAATCTGCCGGAAATAGTGAGACATTGACTCGAATGGAGAGAATGGAGAAAAAGTATTTCTCGTATTTGTTATACGGATTGAAGTCATTATTCTTATTCAATGTATTTGTGCCACAAATCTATCATTTTCTATAAACACTCTATTCTTTTGCCTTAGATTCAGTTGTCTTCACATATATTTATAGTGAGTACGAGAAAGAGAGAGAGAGAGAGAGAGAGAGAGAGAGAGAGAGGCTATATTGTATATAAACAGCAAATGTGTTGTCATTTCTGTATATCAGTTGCCATTTCCGGTGCACTCTTTACACAACATTAGTTCCACTGTAACGACAATTATCTCAACCCTATTATGATAATCAACCGATACTTTTGCGATCAAAACTTTTTTTTATGTATTTTATAGAATATTCTGGCGAATCATTTGTATTCAAGTTTGTACTCAAATTTCCATTTGTAACGAATATCTCAAAACTATTATTAATTCAATTGAGTTTTTTTTCAAACCAAAGAATTCATTCATTTTTTGTGACATGAATTTAAAATCAATACAAAAGATGACAAAATATATACATTTAAAATGCGTTTAAAAATGGCATGTATTCAGAAAATTATTATATAAATTCAGTCCATAATAAGTGCTAAAAAGCAAATGAAGTCATAAATAAATTCACTAAAATTTCACAATCGCTTTAAGGCATTGTAAATACATATATACTGTCATAAATATATTTATTTATGTCTAGATTTAATTGAGATGAAAAGTTAGCTACTTTCTTTAACTACACTTATAATTTTCATTTTCTCCTTTCTCTCACCTTTACTCTCCGTCTCAATCATATACAAAAGCTCCCGTAGTATTGGAGACGAATACACAATGCATACGTATATATAGTGCTAAATATATATAATATTCTTGAATTGCAAATATTTCGTTGAGAAAAATTTGGGGAAAAAAATAATCAAATTTAATATGAAAAATGATGCGAAAAAATGTTCAAAAACTAAATTCAATTTACAATTCTCTGCGCTTTCCAGTGATTCTCAATCTAAACATAAGATAAAAATTATTATTATTTTACTTTTTTTTCTCTCCAATAGTTATATATCTCGTGAGTTATATTTCATGAATTTTTATTTGAAATTATTTATAAATAAAACATAACAAATCATTTATAAAACATAATATAATAGATAATGATCATAAAATAGAGAATATATTTGTACAAAATGAATACAAATAACAGTATATTAACTAAATATTAACATATTTCCAATGCAAGAACTTTTTGTATAAATAGATAATTATTGAATAATATTGTAAATCTACAGTATTTATATAAATAAATACAGATCTAAATTAACTCTACTTTTCAATCGATGAAAGAAATTGATGTGAATATTAAAAGTAAAAGAGGAAAGAGAGTGGAAATGAGAGGCAGAGTTAGTATATGTGAAGCTGTGGTAGTATTGGAGACGAATACACAATGCATACGTATATATAGTGCTAAATATATAAATTTATAATATTCTTGAATTGCAAATATTTCGTTGAGAAAAATTTGGGGAAAAAAATAATCAAATTTAATATGAAAAATGATGCGAAAAAATGTTCAAAACTAAATTCAATTTACAATTCTCTGCGCTTTCCAGTGATTCTCAATCTAAACATAAGATAAAAATTATTATTATTTTACTTTTTTCTCTCCAATAGTTGTATATCTTGTGAGTTATATTTCATGAATTTTTATTTGAAATTATTTATAAATAAAACATAACAAATCATTTATAAAACATAATATAATAGATAATCATCATAAAATAGAGAATATATTTGTACAAAATGAATACAAATAACAGTATATTAACTAAATATTAACATATTTCCAATGCAAGAACTTTTTGTATAAATAGATAATTATTGAATAATATTGTAAATCGTTGTTTAAAAAAATTGCTTAACATTTTCCCATTACTAATCCTTTTAAAACATTTTCCAACCATTTTTTGGCCGAAACTTCAATTTTATGCTAATTTATTCGCTTCACAAGAAGTCAAAGCCATATATAAAAGGGAATGAAAAATAGTGGAAAATCATTCACTTTTTGTAAATGCATTTTTTCCACTACAGAATTAATGGCACAAAATTTTAGGCAAAAACTAATTATTTTAAGCGTTTTGGCACAAAATATAATCATTAATTTATTTGTTTAACTGTCGCATAGATTTTTCATTTACTGGTTAAGAGCCGCGATGTGATGGTCCCTACGATCTCTCTCTCTCTCTCTCTCTCTCTCTCTCTCTCGTTCACTCACTCACTCTTACCCTCATCTAAAGTAAATGAATAGTAATTTTTCTGATGTGAAAAACACTATTTTTCACTCATCTCTGTAATAAAATCACAGAAATTAATTCATATATAAATTTTTAGAAAAATGTTACATTAACTACAAACATCTCTCT